AGGGACCGGATGTGGGGGAGGAAGGATAATTGGGGGTCGAACCTGGTAACGTTAGAATCAAGTCAATCCTCTGTGGTAGTCTTGGTAGACCAGGTCCTGAACCAGGGCATTGCTGATGACAGAATGAGTGGTATGTGTATCACTCTAGAGAAATGATTGAGACACAGATAGGAGAACAGGACATATTGTCTTGAATTGCAGCTCGATCTGCCCAGCCTAAATCCATATTATCCACACGTGGGCTTTCATTATATATTGAATTGTCCCCGATTAAATCCAGAAGATATCTATACATTTTATGAACTATTTAGCAATAAAAAAAGTCAGATACTATGAAATGTGATCATCTCTTTTTAAAGTCTATTTAAGACCTTTATGTTCATTAGCATTAATTATAATATGTCCTATTTTGACAATAGGATTAAAGAATACCAACATAAGTCTCACTGGGTGTATTTGTTACTGCTGGGAGGCAGTTAAGAAGGTGTTTAATGGAATATATAATATTCCCACTTAGGTGGCAACTGAAGCCATTCAATGAGGTCATTGTAATTGTGAATCTCGCTTTAATAACTGCAAGTAAGAATATCATTCTCCTGCCATTGGTTATCAACTGAGGGCAATCCTGCCACTTTGTTCTGTTGAGCTCAGTCACTCTTCCAAACCAAACTTTTCCTCTGGTAATTGTCAGCATTCATTCTATTTTTATATCTGTTTAGTTGAGTTTATTTTTATACATATCAGAGACTTGTCTTTGTACATCAATACCTGTCAGCGAATGACTTAATATAGAGCAAAGAAACGATGCAGACTGAAACTAAGTGTCATCCTATCACCTTCATAAAATAATAATCACTCTTAATCAGAAATACCCCTCAAAAATGAAATAAAACCCAAAGGATTTTCAACAAAGACACAGTTTCAAAAAGGGGTGCCAGCAGTGAGTCAGTAATGCAGTATTTAAATCATATAATGTGTGCGCGGGCGCTTGTGAGAGAAAAAAAACTTTATTCGTGCACCATAACATATCCAGTATTTATAATAAAATGGACACTGAAGACATAAGGAGCAGTAATCTGCTATCCAGCCAAAAGCAGAATTTTATTTTATATACATATATAGAATCAAAATAACTGTACAGGCTCATGCTATGAATTATAGCTCAAGGAAACATTTCTGACAACTGCAATTCAACTTATATTTGATATACACTTAGAAGTTCTGCACAACGTATCAGGTTACAAAATTTGCTTTAAATATGATATGGCATCATGAAATGGATTGGTCCCTTCAGTTCAACTCTACAATGTTAATAAATTGGCAGAATCTAATGTCAAGGAAGTTAATGGTTCTTCCTGTTATTGTTTTCCAAAGCTGCTTTCATTCAATGACAAAAATGAATGCAGTGGAGTGGGGATGTGAGCAAAATATGTACATCACGTCAACAGCTTGAACACAAATAAAGGGATGCAAAATTTAATATTTCATATAATTTAATAATTATTAAATGCATTATCAAATCTGGTATGAAACCCCATTTTTCACCCCAGTTAGTACTGTTGTATTCCAATAACATGCCGAATGCCGAATACAAAATACTATAGTATTCTTTGCAGGTTGTATTTCAGAGGAAGAACTAAATGAGTGAGCCCCATGGATTGTTTTTTACTAGATTATCCCTTGACACCATTCTCTTTTATCTAATATTTATGGCAATGAGTGATCAATGTGGGATTTCTAAATTCTACGCACACTTGACTTTTTCCACAGATGATGGCTGGCATAATCCATTCAAGCATGTTTCACAGTGTTGATGTCTACTGTTTAGCCAATAACAATATAAAAGTACACTGATTGAACAATATTCAACACGTATGATTCAACAATAAATAAAAGAAACAAGGGTGAAAAATTCCACCTGGGTCCGGATTTATCACATATCCACATATCCTGTGAGGCGCTTTGAGTCATTTCAATGATGTGATATGGCGCCATATTAAATGTAAGGATTATTATTATTATTTACTCTACTAATGTAGCATTTCAAAACATCCAGAATTTGGCAAATTCTTAAACACAGTCTTGATCTTGAAAGTGTTTAAGAAACTACAAAAAATGACTTTAGAGTTAAAAATTGGCAAGTACTTGATGTTGTAATGTTACGTAAAACAGAATAAATCCAGACCCAGGTAGAATTTCTCCCCACAAGTAGGTCGTATGTAATTTGTTTGTGTTGCTTCAGTTTCAATGTATTTTTCTATCATCAAATTTAAAGTCAAAATATTTGGGCAACATGGAACAAAAAAAAGTGCAAGTCAGTTATTTTCAATGTTTTCACTTATAAAGGGTTATGTAGGGGGTAATATGCAGTGATTTCTAATGAATCCCATTTGATATCACCATATACTGGGAGTTTCTCCCAGTGTCATGGCCAACAATCTCTCAGATAAAATTGCTCATTCACTACAGGGCTGTTTGTGGGACATTGTCATGTGCTAATTAACTGCTGCATTTGCGTACAAAATATGCAGTACTTTACAGTAAATCATGTGATACGGTTTGAGACGTTTTGATGGCATGATAAGGCATTATATCAAATGCAAGAATTATTATTATTCTTTATTACATCCAGAGTCAAATTAGACGTCCCACATATATCAGACAATGTAATTCTATACAAATGCCTGGAAAGTACAACGTAGGGGGTAAACTTGTGACATTTCACAAAGTATTTGATGTGAGAATTATTATAACAAATGCCTACATGAAGTGCGCTATACAACTTCAAGTTGTTGTTGTTATTATGAAATGCTACTAATTTCACTGCAAAGTTTTCAGCATTGAGCTGACATTCCACTTTGAGGTTATTTCAGCACAGGTTACAAAAGATATAACTCACAAAACTTTCATTGCATACAAAGGTAGCCGTTATTACAAATGGCCTTTTGGAAATAAATAGAGTATGGATTGTTAAGGTTTTAGAAGAGATAAAAGCTATTTTTTCAGGAATCGTTCTTGGACATACAAGTATAAACTCAACTTCTGTAAACTGTCAGTCGAAATGTCCATCCATACTTTTTGCTGAAAGCAAAATTTTACATATACTTTTGACTGTAATCTTGGGTTAAGGACAGCCAAAAGAAGTACCTTTTATTTCTTGGACATCTGAACTGTGTCATGAAGACAACATTTCTTAAAGGGTAATAAGAGATGCTTGTGTCACTCTGCACCTTCTGGGCAGAAATTCCATCTGGGTCTAGGTTCATTCTATTTTATTTTAGCCTTTCAGATCATCCAGAATATGGCAAAAGCTTAAATCGTGTTAATTTTCCAGCTGTTTTGTGTAAGTTCTTTTAAAAACTACAGAAACCCAACCAAGATTGAATTCAACAATCTGTCAAGTTCTGTATACTCTGAAATGCTAAGAAAATAAAGAAAATTCATGTAGAAATTCAACCCCTCTACAACTGTGCGCCAGTTAAGAACATTTTCAATCTGGACTATTTGAAGAGATGCAAGAAGTGTAAAAAAATCTGAAATTAAAAACAGAAAGTGCAAATCAATCAGCAACTAAAAAACCAAGATAAATATTTGTGTGAATCTTTCATTCCAACTTTAACCTGTGTTTGTCTTTTGGTTGCTCGTCCAATACTTTTTGTTTTATCATTGAGTTCTAAGAGACACTTGGGAGGAAGTCTTTGTTTGTCAGTAAATTTACAGCCCTTGGTGAGGAAGAGACTGTCAATAAACTGGTAATGGTGTTGGGGGTGGAGAAGGAGGAAAGAAAGGGGAAAGGAATGCAGTGCCAGTTGCCAGAGAATTAGCAGCTTTTACCCGTAGATTTAGCCAATTTATTTTTCTGAAAAGTCAGCTACAAAATGATCCAGCTCAAGGTGGTCCCACTTTTCGGCTGCTGAGAAATGTCCATGGGCTACATAAGCAACAATTCCAGAAGGGTCACTTTATTAAGGATCACGTGTCAGATTTTCCTTGGGCTAGAAACATAAAAACATAGAAAAGCAGGAACAGGAGGAAACCATTCAACCCATTGAGCCTTTTCCACCAGTTTATTAGATCTTGGCAGATATTTTCGTGCCAATGATCGACATTTCATCATATCCCTTGATACATCTACTGCTATATGTTATCTGTCCATCCTTCCTTAAACATCCCTATTGAATGTTTTCTACAGTTTTCTGAGACAGATCATTCTACATCTTCACAATCCTCCAAGTGAAGAAATACTTTCTGTCCTCAATTCTAACTGGCTTAGTTCTGAGTGACGGATATTTGTCTGATTTATTGTCAGTGTTGTCTGTTAACACATCGTGCCATTTGATTTAAGATGTGAACCGGGTTGGCAGATCATTGCAATTAAATATTCATTGCAACAATGCTGGATGTTATGACAGTATACTACCCAGTGTACCCAGCAATCACCCTGATAGTTACTCTATGAAGAGAGGTAAATAAATAGCTTAAGCAGTATCTTATTTTCCCAAGTTAACAAATATTTTCAGAAAGAATGAAGGACACTTTTGCATGACACACTTCAAACACAACATGCCGCTGTAATTCTCCATGTAAGTATTGTGTACATTATTATAGCAGTGGTTAAGCTGCTATTGATATGTTAATCTGCTGGTTTGGTCGTTTCCTTTAAGCAGAATTGGCTGCAAAGCTTTCAGCAATGGAATAAATGGAAAATGTGCTCTGTTTCTGGGCTTAACAGCTAAAACTGCATAGCTTACCACTGAGAGCACTGTCTGGCAAACTTCCCATTGCTTGTCCAGCTGGGAGTATCCTACATGATAGGGCTTTGGCTTGCTGAGCTCAAAATTATCTGTTTTTTTTAACAAAACTTATCTTATGAAATGTTAAATTTCAAGATAGTTCCTGAGCAAAGCCCTTAACATTAAGGGCTCTTCAGCTTTCTATTTACTGAAACATTATTTGGAGAAAAGAAAGAGAAACAATAATGAATTCAGGAAGAGTTGGACTACTATTAAAACAGTCAGCTGTTTATTATGAGCAGTCAAAATCCTTCTAATGTCTATGGCAGTTTCCATAGTGTTCACTTGGGTCCAGAAGACACCTGGGATAGCATTAACAAGACACATTGGCCAACTCAAACATGACGCACTTTAACATTACCTTACATTACAAAACATGCAGCATTCCACTTAGAAGATTACCGAGGGACTCTCCATTGGTCCTACTTTACAACACATAAAGTTGAGGCCCATTGAAGTTTAAGCAAGTGATAATACCCCAAATGACTATTGCAGTATTACCTGTATTCTCAAGAATACTCTAATGTGTACAACAAAACTGATATCAAGTAAGCAGATTTTGTCCTTTAGAAATCATGCCATAGGGATTCCGCATTCATCTCATGCTGATATCTGAGCCTTTCAAGTTTTTAGAAGCTGCTTCAGTGTCTTAGTCTCTCTGAGGATGGCAACAGCAAACCTCCGTCACATCCAAAGCTAATTAAAGATTAAAATTTTCCAACTGTCCAAATGTAAAACAAATAGAGGCAACTTCCATGTGTTTATACTTCACTTGCATGTTGCTCTATATTAACTCAACAGGATCCTTTTCGATTTTGCCCACAATTTTATTCAGAAAGAAATTTCTCTCAGAAGCCTTCGAAAGTCCTTTAGATTTTTTTATTCTTCACTGACTGACAGGCAAAAGCATCGCCCTCTCCCGGTTCCCTGCTTGCTACTAAAATTGCTGAATCATTTTACACTAAAGATCTATGTTTCCAGGTGAAGATAGTTGTCTTGATGCCTGTCACTTAAACTGCATTTTGCAGAAAAAATTATTCTGTTAATTTTGAAATAATAGCTTGTGGTCAGTCTTGTTTTCATGCTACTTAGAAGCAAAATCTTCGTGCATTGTTCATTTTGTTTTTGAAAGGAAAATTACAACCGTAAACTTTCACCCCAAAGTTCACCATCGTCCAAAGTGTCATGGACAATCTCCCTGTAAGATTCCACCTCCTCTTGAAGAAAACTCATGCTTGCATTATCCCTGGGTAGATATCTTGCACTCCACAGGCATGGCATCTATACTTGGTTTGTTACACTAAGCTGCTACAAACTCTTTGCAGCCACAAAAAAGTATTGCCGCTCATGCAGGGAGTCTTGGTTCAAGTTTTAAGGACAGCTCATACAGTGTATCTTCATCCATAATAACTGCTTTGTCAAGTAAGTATTGAATAACCTAAAAAAAGCAACAAGATTGATGCAACATATTAGAAATAATGATTAAAAGGAAAAATCTTCAGTTTTGTAGTCGCTGATCTGTAGTGGTCAGCCTGGCTAGGATGGTGGCACACTTGCATCTGAGTTAGAGGGTTGTGGGTTCAAGCCACGCATGACAACTTTGAGCTCATAGCTGGGCTGAATCCCGAGGTCCCGTTTGTTTGTACAGGATGAAAGATCCCACGACACTGTTCAATAGGAGAAGGGAAGTTTCTCCCTGTGTTCTGCCCAACAATGCCCCAGATAAAATTGTCATTCACGTCATGAGTGTTTTGGAACAGTGTTAATAGTGCTGTGTGTAAATTAGCTGACGTACCTGCCTACAAATGCAGTCACTCCAATCCACTGGTGGTCAATTATACAATTAAGGATACCTGTAAAGTATTTGGACATGTCTGGCCACGGGCTATTAGTTGGACCCACATTTTAGAACCCTTTATAGTCAAATAATAAAAATGTCAGTTACTGGAGGATTCCGTGGCAGCTCCAATCTAATAATCGGAAAATAACTCATACTATTCGTTCCCGTCATCTATTGAATCTGTGCTAGTTATATACTGATATGAGATTGGCACATTCACATAGGATCAATGTGTGAATAGCCAAGTGAAACGTATTGCATACACTGTGTGCTGAAATTTTCCTTTCTCTCAGCAGCCTGTTCAAAAGAGTCTTGTAAATTATGTCATTAATCCTGTTTTCCATGACTCTGTGGCATATATTGTAAATACAGATGAATATCATTTAGGGATGAGCTGCCAATGTTTAGTCTCCACTGCAATGCAAAACGTCCAAATCTGAGTGCGACTCCCTAAAACTATTGCTGGGACCATTTAAAGTATTAAAATTCACCTACTTGATGCCCAGAGTTTAAGACTGCGCAGAAGTTCGTAAAATTCTTAATTTAAGCTCTTCAAAAGAACTACAAAAGAAAAGAATTAGTGGAGTCCTGTAGCTCAGTGGTTAGAGCACTCGCTTTGCAAGCGAGAGACCTGAGTTCAATTCCAGGCACAGGGCGAAACCTTGGGCAAGTTTCCTTACTCCATACGCCTAATAATAATCCCTCCAAAAAAAACAATAATAAATTGGTCATTTTCGATCTACGACTGTTTGTGGGACATTGCTGTGCACAATTGGCTGCCGCGTTCGCCCACAAATATACAGTCAATTCACTTTAGTGTGTTCTGTGAAGCGCTTTGGGACGTCCTCCCAACGTGAAAAGCGCTATATCAAAATGCAAGGATTATTATTATTATTACAGAAATTCATCTTTCAAAATGCTGCGCAATGTTATATTTTAAGAAAATGGCCTCTGATTTGCAACCCAAGCTGAAGCTTAGTCCTACTGTGAACTCTTGACATGATGGCAAACACCCAGTTAGTTACCTTTGGCTGATGATCTATTCTGTATGGGGTTTGTTGGAACTGGCGTATCTCCCTGATAATGTGCGATATCTAAACAAATAGAAACAGGTCAGAGCCAGTTAAAAAAATAACAATATCATAAATAGTTGCTTAAATAATGAAGTTCAAATAGGAGTGTTTATTATAACCGTATCCTGATCTGCTACGAGCAGAACCTGACAACAACAATGAATCTTTAAGCAGAAGTGGAAACAGAATGTTACACTGTAAGTAAGAAAATATTATTTCAAGGCTTCACTTTTATGTTTAAATACGACTACCGAGAAACGAAAGCTACAAACATAATGCTCGCAGGATTTAAAAGAGAGGAAAAAAATTTGGTTTGAATTTTTTTTAAACAACAAACCGGTGCTTCAATTATTACAGAACAGTCCCTATCAGTTTCTGTTGAGCCGGATGAGGGATTTGCTCAATAGCTCTCAAGCCTAAATTGTCTTTCAGGAAACAATCTTAAGCAAATTTCCTTACTCCACACGCCTCTGTGTGGATAAATAATGTGTTATCTGCTAAAAATGTTTTGAGTTGAGGAAGGAGTTTCATGCACAGAAAAAAATGTTTTATAACAATTGCGTTGTTGATGCTGGAAGGCTCAACTTATGAGAAAACTATTTTCCTGTCCATCTATCTAACGGGACTACAATTCCCCTTGAAGCACAATCTAGGTACTCAGTTACATTTTATTGAAACAAAATGGTCAGTGTCCCTAACATATTCCAAACTCACCATTCTCATTTTGGAAAAGTTTACAAGGCCTTCTTCAGTAAAATTGGGTGTCCCTTCTTCTATAAACGCTAGATCAGTCAAATACATCCCAAGGTATGGAACGCAGGGAGGATTACAGCTGTTAAAAGAAGCAAAAGATTTGAATTTAAAACAATTAAATTATGTGATTAGTAATTTATAAAAGATGGAACAGTTCATTTTCACAAGGTACTAAACACATCAGATTGTACCTCATGTATTTATGGTAGTTTGTTTTTTTCAAGTATGTGCCTGATTAAAATTCAATTTTAATATGATTATTTATATGAATATGATTAATCATGAATAATCATATATGAATAATTATTTATATGATTATTTGACTGGCGTGCATTAGATTTTGTGTTATTTCGCCGACACCAATAATGATGCACATTACTGCCCAGAAATCATAAAGCTACCAAACACCTGCCAACTATTTGAGAATCATTTTAACAATGATTTAAAGTTGTTTTCTTTACCAACTGAAACTACCTGGCACGACCAAGTAGATTTGTGATATGTGCCAAGTTTTCCCTTCACCACTCACACACAGTTCTGAACCAAAGAGCCTTCTTTGACTGTATTTTGCTTGTGATCTTGTGACATGCACTTATTATCAGGAATAGATTTTGTATTACATGGTTGTCACTTCATTAGGAAAGACTGTTTTAATAAACACAAAAGTATTGAGAAACACACTATATAGTGCAAATCACCATATAATCCATACAAGAGCTGACATTGTTAGTTCTGTTCAGTAAATGTCACATTGAAATAGGAATATGGAGATTGGAAGCTTTTTATTTTATCACAAGGCACCTTAAAGCAGAACTAACTTTTTCAATGTTTCTCTCAGGTTTTTAAATCTTCCTTCAGATGAGACGGTCTTCTGAAGTTTGTCCATTACGGCCTTCGTCTGCAATAAATGGAAAGACAATCATCAAAGAATTTAAAATGTAACCTCACAGTTTATATACATTTTTTAGATATATAAATACAATGCCCAGTCTTATGTGTGAATTGCATTCAATACTGAAGTAGAACCAACTCTGGGATTTCTTCACACTTATTGATCTAAACTCCAAAATACAATACAATTTACATTTATGTAGCACCTGTCGTGTCGGGAGGATGTCTCAAAGCAGTTCACAGTGTTTGATGGGCACCCAAGCTGGGGTTGGGAGCGAGGGGATGGTGAGGGGGAAAATGACTGTAGTCTTGAGACTTGCCTTGAAAGAGGGGAGAGGTAGAGTGAGTCGGAGATTCTGGGAACGGAGTTCAAATCCAGTTCATGTGTGAGATGGAAAAAGACAGAGATTCTCACCATCAGGCAAGCTCCTTTGTCCATTGAAACTCAGGAAACAAACACTGTCACTTTAATTTAATGCCAACTTCAATGCCAACCATTCCATACTCTGGGGGTTATTACAGAATTCATGGGAAAATCTTAACAACCGACACAAATCATAGACATCTTTGAAACTTTACTAGCCTTCATTACAACAGGTCTGGAATATAAAAGTAAGGAGGTGCTGCTTCTGTTACATAGAGTGTTAGTCAGAACTCATTTGAAGTGCTGTGTTCAATTGCATGCACCCAATTGTAGGAAGACTATACTTGCTTTAGGTGGGTATCCAGCAACAGTTTACTAGATTAACACTGGGATGAGTGGCTTAGATATGATGAGAGGCTGGGTAGACTGGGGTTATATTTCTCAGAGCAGACTAAATTAAAGTGTGATTTGAATTAGCTACTTAATATAATGAAAGGAATGATAGGTTAGACAGTAGATGACTTTTCTCTGGGATCCATTACAATGTGACATAGCCTTGGAATCAGAACCAAAATGGCTCGACAAATGTGATAAAGGCATTGGTTATTACCTGTTTGCACACTTTTGCCCAGGTTTTCTTCAGTCTGTAGATTGCGCTCCTGTTCAGGGCTGAGGTGATCTCAAGGACGCCATTGTAATTGTGCATGCAACGACAAATGTCTCCCACTGCTACCCACTTCTCAATGGAAGTGGCACGGGAGCTCACATCAGTGTGTATCATGATTTGAGAAGCAACCAGGTTACTCATCTGAAAAAGAAATTACAGTCCAGAGGGAAATGAGGGTCATGACTTTCATTCACGCACAGAGCATAGACAGCAGGAAATAATTACACAGCTGTAATTCAATCAGTACTTCAGATAACATTGAGAATTGTACAAGTAAACTCTGAGGCAAGATTACAGCTCCAAATAATTTCCTCCAATTGGTCATAATTTTAGATGATATCCGCTGCTCAGTGAGTCAGTGACTAGAGGGCATCAATTTATCATAATTAACGGTCGGGGGGAATCGGAAGATTTTATTTCGTGCAAAGGACTGTTAGGATATTGTAAGGAGTTGTTCTATACATCCCTCGACCCCTCTGCTCCAGTATCGGCAGCTGTTCTTTTAACTATTCCCTGAAACTCTGGAACTCTCTACATCAATCCCTCTGCTTTGCCCCCTTCTTGTCTGCTGTCAGATCACATTTGAAAGCCTTCCTCTTTAATCGTGCCTCCGGTTACCTCTTCCCTCTCTCCAGCTCAGCCAGCGTCAGCCTCCGCCACCATTAAGCACTCTGATACTTTACCCATGTGAAGAGTGCTATGTAAATGAAAGTTGTTATGATTAGGATGTGGACTATTTTGCCAGGTGCACTCCACCTTACTGAGCCACTCTGGAACCATGTCGTCTTGTTTAACCCTCAACTATCCTGTCTACCTCACATCCATGCCATGTCTCACTCTGCCTTTCCCCATCTCTGCAACATTGCCCGGCTCCACCACTGTCTCACATCACAGGCCACTGAGACCCTCATACACACATTCATAACATCCAGGCTCGACTACATAAACTCCCTGCTTGTCGGCCTCGCCAACTCCTCCCTCTATAGGCTGAAGATCATCCAGAACTCTGCAGCCCTTGTCCTTTCGCACACCAGGCTCCACGACCCCATCCCCCCCATCCTTGCCTGACTCCACTGGATTCTCATCACACAGAGGATACAGTTCAAGATCCTGGTCCTCCCCTTCAAAGCTCTCCATGGCCTTGCTCCTCCCTACCTCTGCAGCTTTCTAACCCCCTACCAACCTCCCCACTCCCTCCATTCAGCGGGCTCCAGCCACCTTCACATCCCCCTCCTTGCCCACCCCACCATTGGCAGGCGGGTCTTCTGCCACTCTGCCCCCACCCTCTGTAACTACATCCTGCAGTCCTTCCGCATCGCCCCCTCCCTTACCTCCTTCAAGACCGGTTTCAATAACCTCCTCTTCAACTGTGCCTTCAGTCACCCTCCTTTCCCCACTGCTCTCCACCCTCCTTGATCCCGATCCCCAGCTCAGGTCCAAAATACTGATTGTCCAGTGCCTTCGGACGCCCTCCCGATGTGAAAGGCGCTATACAAATGTAATTTTGTTGTTGTTAAGGTGTTCGAGGCAGAACCCATATTAGCTTTCAAGAGTGAACTATAAACAATAATAGTAATCTTTACATTTGGTAATATATCGCTCCCTTCCTTCCTATTTTCAGGTCTCTGCTGAAGACCTTTCTTTTCGACCGGGCCTTTGGTCACCTTCCTCCCCCTCCCCCTGGCTCGGCCCCGGGATCCATTACTGTGAAGCGCTCTGAGACGCATTCCGGCCTGGAGGGCGCTATATAAATCCAAGTTGTTGTTGTTGGTACAGCGCCTTTCATGTCAGCAGGGCATTGCAAAGCACTTCACGGGATAAATTGTTTTGTGGGCAAACGCAGCAGCCAACTTATGCACAGGAATGGCCCACGAACAGCCATGGAGTGAATGACTTATGTACTATGGAGGATTGTTGCACTAGACACCAGGGGAAACTCTCTTCTCTTTTCGAATAGAGCCATGGGATCTTTAACGTACTGCTGAACAGACAGACACAATGTAGAAAGAAATCAAAAAATAGACTCAGAAGCGAGAATGATACCATCTGAATCAGACTGACACTTAAAAAGTCTATAATGCTCTGATCACTAAAAATACTAGTGTTTTTAACATTATTTGTTTATAATGGAAAATCTTGCCCCTTGACAGCATCCTACTGCACTGCCCATTCCCAGAGCTTTTATGCAGCAAGAATGAGATGGAAACATTTTGACACTGAGATTTAGTATCTAAATCTCTAAATGGGGGTTTTGCCCACAAAATATACAGTCAATTCACTTTCCAGTATATTCTGCGAAGCACTTTGAGATGTCTCAAAGACGTGATGAGGCGCCATATCAAATGCAAGGATTATTATTATTGATAATTAATGACTTTACTGGGCTTGTCCCAGAGAGTCTGAGCAAGGGGGAAATGGGGAGTCAGTTTCCCATCCTGTTCTGTAACATACACCAACAATTGTCTGCAACATTTAATCACTGTACAAACTCAGAGGTTCGGAAAATTCCTGGTCACTTACATCATTAAAATGCTTGCTGGTTTTCATGATGTATGGGGTCCGTTCATTTTTATCAAGTTTCATCCAGCCTTGACCAAGAAACTCCCTGAAAAGAAAATGACAAAGTAAAGATAGCACATGCTTTTGCTTTACTCTTTTGAAAGTTTTACGCTCATTAGTTCTGGCCTTTATAACTCAAGTCTTTTTGAAATCAGAAGTACAGAATTCTTCCAATACAGCTGAGAATTTTTACAGAACAAGGATTTGTCACTGTTTAGAAATGCCCCCAGCAACAACAAAAAATTTCTCTACTGCATTTATTTTTTCTATTCTTTTCTAGTGTACTTTCCTGCACCAATTAATGCACCAATAACAATTTCTAAATATGAAGTGCATCAGATCTCTAGCAAAAAAAAGTCTTAGGAAAATACTATTGCATTCTACCAGATCGGAGAGCTTCAGCGTGAAATCTTCCAACCTCCTCTTCCACCCTCCAATCCTACCTATTGCTAATATCTTTTTTTTAAAAAATCATTTCTGCGTCCACTTTCGGTCCAGTACAATAAATACATCATCACTCTCTGGAGACAAGATTACACCGGCCAGTGGAGCTGGAGTACTGGAGCTGGGACTATAAGGAGGTCACCTAAGCCCTAAGCCATAGGGGCTATGCAGAAGAGAGAAATAACCAGTGTACCAGTGTAGGAGGGTTCTATGAAGAACGATTAGATGTTGGAGCTCTTCAACCTTGAAAAGAGATGTCTCAGAGGAGATCATAGAATCATACAGCACAGAAGGAGGCCATTCGGCCCATCTTGTCTGTGCCAGCTCTTTGAAAAGAGCTGTCCAATTCAATCCCACTCCCCCACTCTATAATAATAATAATCCTTGCATTTGATATAGCGCTTTTCACGTTGGGAGGATGTCCCAAAGTGCTTCACAGAACACACTGTAAAGTGAATTGACTGTATATTTGTGGCCGAACGCAGCAGCCAATTGCGCACAGCAATGTCCCACAAACAGTCGTAGATTGAAAATGACCAATTTATTATTGTTTTGTTTTTTTGGAGGGATTATTATTAGGGGTGTGGAGTAAGGAAACTTGCCCAAGGTTTCACCCTGCCTGGAATTGAACTCAGGTCTCTCGGTTACAAAGCGAGTGCTCTAACCACTGAGCTACAGGACTCCACAAAATGACCAATTTATTATTGTTTTTGATTTTGGAGGGATTATTATTAGGCCTGTGGAGTAAGGAAACTTGCCCAAGGTTTCGCCCTGCCTGGAATTGAACTCAGGTCTCTCGCTTGCAAAGCAAGTGCTCTAACCATTGAGCTACAGACTCCACATAGCCCTGCAAACTTGTCCTCCCCAAATAATTATCTCATAGATAATAAGATCTCATAGAGATATACAAGATTCTAAATGGGGTTGAGAGAGTGAACCCAGGATAATACTTTCAGATATGCCAAATCAGTAGAGCACAGGATCAGGCCTGCAAAGGGCAGCATCAGGGCAGACACCAAAAAGTATTTCTTTATGCGAGGGAAATTAATAATAATAATAATAATCCTTGCATTTGATATAGCGCTTTTCACGTCGGGAGGACGTCCCAAAGCGCTTCACAGAACACACTGTAAAGTGAATTGACTGTATATTTGTGGGCGAACGCGGCAGCCATTTGCGCACAGCAATGTCCCACAAACAGTCGTAGAATTAAAATGACCAATTTATTATTGTTTTTGGTTTTGGAGGGATTATTATTAGGTGTGTGGAGTAAGGAAACTTGCCCAAGGTTTCGCCCTGACCTGCCTGGAATTGAACTCAGGTCTCTCGCTTGCAAAGCGAGTGCTCTAACCACTGAGCTACAGGACTCCACAAATGACTGGAACAGGTTGTTAGAAAAAGTTGATGAGGCTAGGGCAGTAGTCTCATTTAAGAAACAGTTTGCAGGAAGGGCATTTTTAAGGATGAGTTCAAATGAGCTTGTGATCTTGTGTAATCTTGTAATAAAAACAATCTTCCTCCAACATAGAGTTTTTATTTCCCTGGATGGAACTATAATAATTCTAAAATAGTAATAATCCTTACTTTGGTAGAGCACCTTTCACGCCAAGAGGACATCTCTATAGGCATGCAGATTTACTTTTACAAAGAAGAACTTCCACCCCTCCCAATCCCAAAATAAAACTCAAACTTACTCATATGGTATGCTTCTGAAAACAATATGATCAAGGAGTGTTAACTGCTCTGCTAGTTCCATGGCTGAGAGAGTCTCAAAGGATTCCATCCTGGGGCCATTTGTCTGTAGAGCATCAGGTTATGCAACAGATTAGTACAACAAAAGCGCAATGATTAAATTGTGATTAAATTAGTACATTGCTGATTTGGAGACTTAATTTACTGGAAACCCTTGATGCAAATTTTACAAAATGAATTAGTGCTAATAGATTACAATTTGTAGACTGAAAAATGTCTCTTACATAATATTATAGACTTTATTTTTACCATGACAGGACAAGCAATACTAAGCAGGTAAGAGTCAATTACATCACTTCCACTGAATGATAAACAATGAGTGTGGTTCTATTTCATTACAGTGAAATTTTGTTAACTGAATACTCAATTTGACAGCAAAAATTATTCAATAAACCAAACTATTCATATAATCGGACTAAACATAATAGGAGGCTCATCTCCCAGAACTCTGAATTCTATCCAATAATCTGCACTATTCAATTATTCAATATTGAATGAATCAAATTTCACTGTACTTTGTTCTTGTGTAATGTTTTTGTTTTGGTCTGCTGACACATGCAAAAACCCATCAACATGAGCAAGAGTATTTAAACTAGAGTATTCCATGTATGTATGCCACCTACACATAAACATTTTTCCCTGTGTCTGGAACAGAATGCGTACTCTCTCAATGGAGGGACTCACTCTGCTTACCTAATTCTGTAGAGTATTGGATCCATGTTCTAAGTTTAAATATTGCAGTTTGGAAATAAAAAGAATAGCACGAATTTATCTGGTTTTAACTTTCCTTCTTTCTAGTTTAAATTATCATTAGATATATCAAATGTGTTAATGTGATTGGTGACAATCTGGATTTTTGAGAAGGTTGAAGCCAGAAGAAACTTTATAGTTCTGGAGGACTAGAAGGTTATGCTCAAAGTGGTTATTTCTGCTGGTCAGAGAATGAACCAAACTTAAGCAGTTTGTGCTTAAAATGGAAACCTCCCACTGTAAGCACATACTGCCAAGTTGGAAAAACTCCCGATAAGTGAAAATAAACCTTGAGTGTAGAATATTAGATCATAAAATATTTACTACTTTTTAATCAACTTTGTACAGGTGAAGCATTGCCCCTTAGGACATTAGAATACATTAGAACATATACCACAGAAACAGGCCATTCAGCCCAACTAGTCTTTGCCGGTGTTTATGCTCCACATGAGCCTCCTCCTGCCCTTCCTCAACTAAGCCTTCAAGCATAACCTTCTATTCCTTTCTCCCTCATGTACCTATCTAACTTCCCCTTAAATACATCTATGCTACTTCCCTCAACAACTCCTTGTGGCAGCATGTTCAATAATAATATTAATAAATTTATTGATATTAACATAATTAATATATTAATATTAATAATATTTATTAATAAACAATAATAAATTGTTCATTTTCAATCCACGACTGTTTGTGGGACACTGCTGTGCGCAATTGGCTGCCGTATTTCGCCCAGAAATATACAGTCAATTCATTTTACAGTATATTCTGTGAAGCGCTTTGAGATGTCTAGCAGACGTGAAAAGCGCTATATCAAATGCAAGGATTATTATTATTATATTAGAGCGACGGTGCCAACCTGTGACCCACAAACTACTTAAGAAGCTCCTGCCCCTCCATGTCCCCCAACATTCACACGAGTCTAGGAAAGTCTGTGTTCAATCTTAATTTTCAAGCTGGATTTCTGTAATTTTTTGAAGAGCTACAGAAAAGCATCTTCAAAGTTAAGACTAAATTCAACAATTTGCCAAAATCTGCACACTCTGAATGCACGAACTTCCATCCTAACATTCCTTATAGCACAGTGCAATTGGGTTCAGTTACTGTAGAGTGTACTTGAAACATTGCTGCTCGCGGAAAAAGTTAATTAATTTGTCAAAGACCACACTTAAATTACAATGCCACTATAGTCGATCTATTTTCAATTGTTTTTGATGCTTTATAAAAGCCTTATCATTCCATTAGACTGTAGTATCACCCAACATCTAAGTTAAACAACAACAATAAATTACACCTGTATAGCACCCTTCACGTCAGAAGGATGTCCCAGGGCGCTGGACAATCAGGGAGTTCGGACCTGAGCTGGGAGTTGGAGTCAGGAGGGGAGGAGGGCAGGCGGATGGGGGTGGGAGGGTGGCCAAAGGTACGATCAAAGAGGAAGAATCAGATGGGTTATGACGGAGGCAAGAGAGGGGCTGAGGCCGAGGGATTGTGGGATATAGTTCCAGAGTGTGGAGGCACAGAGGCTGAATGCCCAACCGCCAATGGTGTGGTGGGAAATGCAGGGGACCTGAAAAGTTATTTAATTATAAAGGTTATTAAATTAGTACAACAAAAACTTGTATTTATATAGCGCCCTTCACGTAGGGTAGTTTCTGGGTTCAAGCCTCAAGTCGGCACTTGGAACTCATGTAGTCTAAGGTGACACTCCAGTGCAATGCAGGTGGTGCTGTGGTATTGAAGGTATTGTCCTTCTGATGAAATGTTAAACCAAGGTACCGTCTGGCTGTTCTGATAGACGTTAAAGATCCTTTGAGACTATTTGAAAAGAGATGGGCATTTCTCCCGGTGTCCTGGCCAACAACCCACAAATGAAATTGGTCATTCACTCCATAGCTGTTTGTGGGACAATGCTGTGCACAAATTGGCTGCTCTGTTCGTCCACAAAACACAGTCACTCCCCTTTACAGTATAACTTGTGAAGTGTTTTGGGACATCCTCCTTTTGTGACAGGTGCTATACCAAATGCAAGGATTTTTTTTTAAAACATCTAGGAGCTATTTATAATGACACAGCCAGTTGCTGAGCAGGGGAGGGGGAGCATAGGAATAATTTTGGGGAGAATATAAAGTTCGATTTCATAATTAATATCTAAAAATAAACACCGCTATGTGTAAAGTGGAGGTGACTTCTGTCTATTGAATGACAATACTGTTTCTTTTTTAGTGTTTTCATTTAAGTGGAACATAGAAGACAATTTGCTCATTATTTTGTGATAGCGTTTGCTCATATCTTCGACACGTCTCAAAGAGCTTCACAGGATATACTGTATGGTGGAGTGACTGAGTATTTTGTAGGCGAAGCCATCCATCCCAATTCCCTGCGCTTTCCTGCACCCACTAACACCCTTCCTCTTTATGTCCTTGTCTAATTTTGCTTTTAAATATCCTGCATTTAAACATCCAGGACAAAATGACACAGTTCTGGATTTATTCGTGGTTTACTTCTCAAATGATGCACTCACCAGCTGTATAATATCTTCCATCCTCAGCTGTGCATCATCCAGTTCTTCATGTGAAAGCGCACTGACAGAGAGTTTACTGCATATTAGAAGGATGTAACTGCATCATTGTTATCACAGAAAAACAGAATAATCAGCATATCAAAATTGTTGTACCTCCAATATATTTTTAGTTGTTATTAAAGAAACACGGATTTGATAATCTGCTGATTTGACACAAAACACTGTTGCAAAACTAGTTATTATAGTTGATTCAGTTAATCTGGCTCAGTCTGAAATGACAGCCTAGTGCAATACTGGAGAATTGCTGCAATGTTGGATGAGACGTCAAGACGAGGTTTTGCTCATCTGTTTTTAAGTGTTAAAGATCCTATGACACTATTCAAAAAGGGAGTTTCTTTCAGTGTCCTGACCAACAACCCTCCAGAATATTGGTCATTCACGTTTTGCCTGTTTGTGACATATTGCTGTTTCCACAGATAAATATAAAATGAGAGAACAAACCGTTTCCTGGAAAGGTGTGCCACCTGCTGTTATTCCTTCAAATATTCCTTAAATAAGTTAAAGAATGCATTAAGGAATTCCGCAAATTACTCCGCTATTCCTCCCCTCCCTATTCCGTTTTATTCACTTAATCGAGACACCAGAGAGAAAAAAGCTCTGGAATATTGGAAACCAAGGCAGAGAAAGGGAGGATATAATTGTGGAGAGAAACAGGATTATATCAACAGGATCTGAAATGTACATTAATTCCTCAGTTTTTTTTCAAAGGTGTGTCCAATATTAAAGATTATACATAAGGTCGGCATTCAACGCATCTGTTTAATTGTTGGTGTAAATTTCCAATATTAGTAATACAACCAGTAACTGTAAATTGATGGCACGCAGTGCTTTTACAGTGTCAATATTATTGTCTGCTACTTTACTTCCTTATACAAAGCAGAAGTCCCATACCATTACCTGGAATTATCAGCAAAGTATACAAATATTACCTTAAAATGTTGGCGGTAGCTTTCCTTTCTTGCGGCAGAAGATCAGGATCTCGCATCACTTCTTCTAACAACCCCAGAACACATGCCTTCAACTCACTGTTCATCTCAAAATCCTAAACAATCAGACACCAATAAACTCATTAATATTAATAGATGAGAGTCCAGCACTTAAAACCTATTGAATCCATGATTTTAAAAGGTATAGTTACAGGCACCTTTCTTTGAGTACTCAGTTGAATTGCCTGGTTCTTTTCCCTGATACACTTCCAAAATATATCAGACACTGTCTTAGGTAGTTTTCTCACCTTGAGTCAGAGGGTTGTGGGTTAAAGTCCACCTTGAGACACTGAGCTTTCACAGTCTTCTCTGACACTTGAATTCAGTTCTGGGGGAGCACTGCATAGATGAGTTGCTATTCTTCTGAAGAGACTTTTAAAACAAGGTAATGCTTGCCTGTTCAGATGGAGGTTCAACTTGGGACATCCTCCCGATATGAAAGCCACTATACAAATTTGTTGTTATTGATGAGTTTAATTATCTCATGGTAAAAGGCGAAGGGACTTTCTTTCCACTATCTGGTGGAATTGTTGTCCTGACCAACAATTCCACCAGATAAAATGTATTATTCAGTTCATGGTTGTTTGTGGGATACTGCTGTGTGTAAATTGCCTACTGAGGTTGACTGCACTTTACTACCGTGAAGCGCTTTGAGACGTTCGATGGTAGGCCAGCCTGTAGGATTGTTTAGTTTGGTGCAATATAAGGATTTCTATTCAAGATGTCAGCGACAGACACTGACCTCGAACATAAATCTGGGCTGGTTAAAACTGATTGTGCAAAATCAGTTAAAATTTAATCCATTCAGCCTTCAGAGGTGCCTGTCCTTTATAAAACAAGGCAATAATCCCATGCCCATCTGAATAACAATATTTTTTACATTTATATAGTACCTTTTACATTGGGAAGACGTCACAAAGCACTTAAATTAATTGCCATTGAATTTATTTTGAATTTCCCTACGTCCTTATCGCTGGTAATACAGTAAATACAGTGGCTAATAGTTGGCCCTCAAATACATTTGTCTCATTTCTAGTAGTCAAAGTGGCCTTTGGTGATGAGGTATTCCTAATAGTCCCATTTAGATGTATCCATCCATACACTGGGCAGTGCTTTTATATTCTTTGGGCCACTGAAGGTTATAAATTATTTTATTTAAAATAGCTATATGATGTTAAGTTGTTGTAAACAACATTTACAACAACTTGCATTTACATACCACCCTTGATGTGAGGTGGTGTCTCTGAGCGCTTAAAGGCAATTGGATAATCATCTGAAGAATACCATTAGAAAACTTCATTTAGGAAAAGACCAGAGAAATGAGTAGTAAACTACATAGTCTCAATGGCCCATAATTCACTGATTAATTGATCATTTGCCTTGTCATGGTTGCCTATAAAAGAACAGTCCCTTACATAATAATAAGTAATTCTTCATCTGATATAGCTTCTTACCATGTTGTCAAGATGTCTCAAAGCATTTTGTAGGATATCCTATAAAGTGATGTGACTGTATGAATTTTGTGGAAGAACGCAGCAGCCAATTTGTGCACAGCATTGTCCTACAAAACAGTCTTGGAGTGAGTGACTAATTCTATTTAAGGATTGTTGGCCAGAACACAAGGAGAAACTCCCTTCTTTTTTTGAGTCGTGCCATGGGAGAGGTGGCAACTCTCACCTGGACAGGCAGACGCAACCTCAGTTTAACGTCTTATCCGAAGAAGGTCACCTCCAACAATTCAACACATACCCAGCAATGCACCTGAGCATCAGCATAAACTATACGTAGACTCCTGGCATGAGACTTAATCCACAATCTTCTGATTCAGTGGCGAAAGTGCCGCCAACTGAGCCAGGCTGACACAAGTTGTGACACCATAATACACAATAAAAAAAATACAGTCACTGCATTTTACCGTAAGATCCTGTGAAGCACTTTGAGAAATTCTGTTACATGAAAGGTGTAATAACAAATGCAAGGAACATCTCAGAGTGCTTCACAGGATTTTACTGTAAAATGCAGTGACTGTATTTTTATTTTATCACATCACTGATATGTATGCCTTTGCAGGATTTTATTATAAAGTGTAGTGACTGTATTTGTAGTCAAGCACAGCAGCCAATTTACGCACAACGTCCCACAAACAGCCATGAAGTGAATGATCGATTTTATCTGAGGGATAGTCGGCCAGGACAGCTGGAGAAACTCCCTGCTCTTTTATATATCGCAACTATATAAATGGTATGGACACTGATTTAAGCTTTCTGTCATTTTTGTGCTTACACAGACACAATCTCAGGCCTCACAGACTGTAGGAATGTCTGTTGCCATAAGATGGAGCTCTAATTGCAGCCATCAGACCAACATTCCTTGTATTAATGCCAAATTTCTCAACAGGTTTCAAACACTGCAAGTGGGGTCTAACTTGTGAGAGTTGTAAATCGATTCAGAAGTAGTGATTCCTGTTGATATCTCTGCAATCCCACTCAATGCATTTACATAATGCCTTTCACATCAGCAGGACATCTCAAAGCACTTGGCACTGTTTGGGCACCTGAGGATGCCATCATGAAATGAACCTTGACGAGATGAGGAGAGAGGTGAGGGGTGGGAGTGGAGGAGAGAATCAGAGCAATTCTGGGATGGAGTTCCAGAGAGCAAGGGCAGAATGACATAAATCTGCTGGCAGCAAGAGCCGTTTTTGACTGCAATCTGGAAGTCGGGATTGATAGCCCACCAAAGGCCATGAGGTCAGTGAAGTGAAATTGGGATGCAGGAACATGAATGTTAATGGGAAGAGTGAGTGGAGAGATCAGTCCAGGTCAGTTTGGAATTAAAGAGAGACACACAATGCACACAACATTTATATCTGCTGATATTCACACTATTTTAATATCCACAATGAAGACTTGGTCCCAAATAGTGTGGATATCAGGCTTTCTAGGCGAAAACCTCATACATGTCTCAATGAAACTACATATTGTTAAACATTATAATTTAGAAATGAAGCAAATGTTGGAAATTGAGCCTTGTGTCTTCATTAATTTTGCCCAGTCTTGGTGGCAAGGAAATATTTTAAAAACAGCAGTTCATAAAGTGAAGGCATAATTTCAATTTATTGGGCTTATACTGACTCTACAGCTCATTATGAGGACATTCTTGTGTAATGATTCCCATCATTAATTTAAGTCAATACTTTGTTGATTCCTAGCTCCCTTCGAATCTGGTCTGTTATTTAGCATCACTGAACAAAGTAAAGCTGAAAGAGGAGTAATGCCACAAGGTAATGTCAAATTGTCATCAATACTCCTGGCTCACCAAACTGATTTGACATATTGACCTGAAACTTCTTGCAATTAGAGCTGCAGCTATGGATTTCCTACTAAAGTGACTGTCAGAGTCCAGTCCGCAGAAACTAGCAGTGCCTCTAATTGGGCTGACTGCTTGCACGTTTGGTAGTATTCTGGGAAAAAAAACATAATCCCCAAAGGGTTTCAAGCAGTTAAGTATTTTCCCCCTCCCCCATCCACTGCACCCTGCTCCATTCATCTATTACTTTGTAGCCATTAATTTCATTAAGGCAAAGTACAATTATTATAAGACTCAAGGGGAAAATGGATAATTTTCATAGAATGCACTCCATTAGAGAACTTGAAATCACAAAGCAATTTTAAATAAAATAATTCACATCCCTCAATAGCCCAAGGGATATGGAAGTACTGCCCAATGCAGCGCTGAGTCACACAGATCTGATAGTTGACAGTACGAATCCTGTCCTGTTTTGTGTTGAACTAGTCCAGAGCAGCAAGTGGGGCACGATCCTCCTGGGGTAGAGAGCAGGTAAGAGCGCTCACATTGTGGCTGAGTTGGCTCCTAGGTTATGTGTCTGGCAACGGATTGTTGGAATCAAGTCAATCTTCTGTAGCAGATTCAGTAGTCCAGTTCCTGGACCAGGTGTGTCCTCAGTACTCCAGGACACTGCTCATGATAAACCAGCCAGCATAGATCATCAGCAGGACTTGTAAGGGCAGACCAGTCACTGGGGACTGGGATGCTTCCCACTCAGTTCCTGTTAATGCAGTTACACTGCAAGCCAAATCCTAACAGGTAGGGTGGACAAATGGTGGGAAATCTGTCAAACCGTGTTTGTAAGGGCAAAGTACATGGATTTAGCTGGTCAAACTCTAACATTAGCTCAAAATGCACTCTGAGGTTCCCAAGCATTGACTCTGACAACCAGAGTCAATGTAAACTCTCCAGGATTAAGTAAGCAGGATTTGTCCCTCTGGGAAGAGAATGCCCAGTGTATGGATGTCAGCGAGGACAGGATAGAGTGTGTGCTCAGGGAGAGAGAAATGGTTCCTATCTAGGCTTCCACTGGGGTTCCTGATACCAGAGGAACAATGCAATGACGTGAACCTCTGGATGTGTGACAGATCCTACACCTCTACAAAATATAGTCACTATACTATACAGTAAATCTTGTGAAGCATTTTGGATATCCTCCCAACATGAAAGGTGAAGTATCAAAAGCATGGATTATTATTATTATTGCAATGTGTCTCAGCATTTAAATAGTTGTACCTGAGAGTGTTTGGAAACCCAGTGTCGGAGGACATTCAAGACACGGTTTGTAGCTGCCCTACGGATTATAAATTCTTTATCACACATGCGCTCTGTATTGTTAAATCCTGCAAAAAAAGGACAAAAGGATATTTTTAGTGTAAGAGAACAACAGACTTAACAATACATTGCCTTCATATACATTAGTCTTTTGTCTAGGGTTCATGTCACTGTTTATTAACAAGTTGATGCTGTAGGAAGAGAGTAGGTGGAGTTTACAAATACTGGAGAGTCTATCAAGCAGAGAATGTCATATTCAGCAGCAAGTTAAACTCAACTATGGAGGGGGCTGGGATCAAATGGAAAATGGTGTGTGATAAGTGCCATAAACGACAGCGTACTTTCACAGGAATAGAGGAAGTGTGGTATCACAAGATTGATTTGTATGAAAGAAGCCCTTCAGCTCATCTGATCTCATCCCTCAGAGCAAACACCCACTGCAGAGCCCATACACACAATACTGAAACACAACATACAAATCTTGTCAAAATGCGAGATTAGCCTATTTTCATATCCATATTGAAAGGCCCAACACATTTCAAATATGTCACAAGATTGGTACGTTTTTGTTTTTTCAATATTTGTGTAAGTTCCATAATAGCTTGTTTTTCAAGATCAGTACAAAGCAAAAGCTCAGGTAAAACGAGAAAAGTGACGCAAAATATAGGTAGTCTCAAAAACAATAAGATTACATTTATATAGTTTTATATTTATATAAAAATTACTTGAAGCCAATGAAGCATTATAATGAACCATTATAATTTCTAATGAATTACTCAGCCTCCATTCTCCCCGTATTCTTTGTGATTTACATCTCATTCTTAACACACTGCACAGTCCATTATATCTGTAGGCCTAAACTGTGCCATTTATATCAAACAATATCTTTATCAGGATGAAACTCAATTAGATGGTTCCCTTTAGACCCTGTAGACAAGTTCACTGATACACATCAGAATGCCAAATGACAGAAATGAGAAAGACATCAACACAGTTTAAGGTAAGTTGAAAAGCAAGTAAAAGAACTGAACTGTAAAGATGAACACATTTCAAATACAGGTTAGCAGTGAACATTCAGAATTTAACAATTGTATTACGTAATTAGAGTGAGTTAGGATTTTTCTTTGAAGTAGTGAAAGAGTTTATTTAGAGCAAGGGGAAATGATTTCTTAAGTGTCTATTATAAAAATGAATAAGGGGATGTTATTAATAAAACGTTATATAGTCTGAGGTGTTTGGGATGTTAGATGAAGTGTAAGATGACACTCCAATGCAATGCCACGGTAGTGTTGCATTGTCAGAGGTGCCAGGCTACAGATGAAACGTTAAACCAAGGACCCATCTGCCTGGACAGATGGGCTTAAAGATTCCATTTCATATTCAAAAACGAAAAGTTTCTCTCAGTGTCCTGGCCAATAATCCCACAAATAAAATTGGCCATTTGTTTCATGACTGTTTGTGGGACATTTCTGTGTACAAGTGCGCAATTGGTCTGCTGCATTCACTACAAATACACAGTCACTCTACCGATTAATTGCATTGATAGTTTAATTGCAGCCACATTTATGATATTAATTTTTTTGCATAGCAAATGTTGAGAAAATATTTATTTTTATATCATAATATTTATTCTTAGAATGAGGGGCGGGTGAATTCAGACAAGCAGAGGTGAAACTTGGCTCTTTGACTTCATCTGGGTGAGTATCATTTACTCTTATTTTCCCCAAATTAAATGAAAAGCAAAAGGGAGCATAAAATGGAGGGAAGTAGACCTTTCCAGTAAGTACTGGATCGGAGCATTTAATACAGAAAAGCAAACAGCAGTAAACCCACTTGTAATAAGGTGATATTACAGAGCGCCAAGGACCATCATAAGAAATGTCACCATCACAGCAACTCTTTCTGTAAATACCAAGTCTGAGATGAACTGAGCTGGACCTGGTTCTTCAAAGGGTGAATTACTTCTGTGTTTTCATTTACTTATGAGTTTGCGAAGTGCGATGAGGGCTTCTGAGAGGAAGAGGTTTTAATGTACGTTTTCTGTTATAAATCTCAATAAATTTATCAAATAATAATATTAATCCTTGAATTTCAAACAGCGCCTTTCATATAACGAAGATCTCTCAAAGCACTTCAAAAAATTTACTACAAAGTGTAGTAACTGTATTCTGTAGATGAATACGGCAGCCAACTTGTACGCAACAATGACCCATAAACAGCAAAAAAAAAACACAGCATGGAAGTCAATGACCATGGGATCTTCAAAGTTCACCTGACTGCTGCATTGTTGGAGGTGCCATCTTTCAGATGAACCTTTAAACTGAGGCTCAGTATGCTTGTACAGGTGAACGTTAAACCTCCCATGGCCCTACTCAAAAAGAGAAGGGTGTTTCTCTCGGTGCCCTGGCCAACAATCCCCCAAATAAAATTGGTCATTCACTCATGGCTGTTTGTGGGACACTGCTGAGCGGAAAATTGGGTGGCATGTTTGGCCACAAAACACACTTTACAGTATATCATGTGAAGCACTTTAATGTCCACCGAATGTGAAAGGTGCTATACCAAATATGTAGCGATATTCACATCGGAGACATCCCAAAGTACATTATTATGTATCATTTACATGCCTATTTTCATTCTTCATGTTTAGGGAAATTACATGTTAATGTGGAGTAATGATCTATTTGCCAGAACTATCAGTTTGTTCCATTGTTTTTACAGCTACTTGACATTTGCTTCAGAACTAGACAAGATAAACTTACCTCAAGAATAATGGCTATATTTGCATACTTAGACTGAGTGGATATATAAAAAAAAGTCGTCCAATTTTAAGTCCTCGAATTTTAAGAATGTCAAGTAATATATAAAAAACATTAATAAATTACAGAGCTCTAAACTACCCCTGTGAGCATACAGCCAGCTATTAACTCCATTAAGTATAGCCATGAGCAATTCACATCGTCGTAAAATGGCCAAGAATTTAATTAACAAAGTTCACAGGCAATTTTAAAACAAGCGATCCTTTCTAGTAAATCTAAATGCTAATAATTTTATTGTAGGAAGAAATGAGGTTGGTCAATGTGAAACCACTGATTTCGCACAATAAACACTGTAAATAGCTGAAGTCACTGCAGATTATTTCAGTGCTAAGATTCCCCTCTTCTTCACACCTACAGTCAGAACTAGCACTGAGGACACAGTCCCTATCCAAAGCAGATTAGTCTGCTTCCAATTGATTGAAAAATTCAGACCCATCAAAATCAAATGTGATTGTTTCTTTGAAACAAGGATACCACGCTGGCTTTGGACGCTAGGGGAAGGCACACATTTCCATTTGATGATAAAGTTACCCACCTTAGCAATGTGTGGTTTGTACGGGATTTCCCCCCATTCTAAGTGTACATCACCAAGGTGGGTAGTTTTGCCTACTCTTGGAAGTTATCTACCCCTAAAGCTTTCCACTGGTCAATAAACTAGTATCCTTGCTAACAAGTACTGAGAATATGGAAGTCAAAATGAACACACAATAAGCACTGGTAAAAACTTTTGAATATTTATCAGTCTCTACTATTCAACCCTTACTGTTAATTATTATCATTCCTGAACTAAGTCCTGCATCTAAGCCTAATATTAGGATTCATTCCAACCACTTACGGCCATCTCTTCCTGACATTCCAATGTCCTTGTGGCAACAGCACTAAGATACAGTGAACTTACCAACACACTAAATATGCTAAGGGTCATTTATTTTTAATATTAGAAATTGTTATAGAAAATAAGTACTGCAACTTTATTGTTATACATTAGGAAACAAAACCATTGCATTATACAGGAAAACAAAATCTAGGACCAATATTTTTTTGAAGAACTCCCTCAAACTGTAGAATACAAAAACATTGCCAGAAATTCACATGTTACTTGTAGCAAAGAATCGTTGTTTTTTTCCCTGGAACTCGCTTCCTTACTTGCCTGGCTGCTCCGATGATGGGTGTTACAGTGAGGAGATGCTTGCACATTATTTCAAAGGAGCTGCATTAAACTTCCACATGTCGACACCCAAATCTACTTCTCCTCCAGCAGCAAGTCCAGATCTGCTATTATTCTGTCAGCTTCTTTGTCAGACATCAAGGCCTGGATGAGCGCAAACTTCCTGCAGCTGAATGTCAACAAGATGGAAGCTATACTCCTTGGCTCCCGTCAACATCTTCTCTCCTGCATCTCTGATCTCCTCATCCTCCCCAGCTATCCCCAAGACTTACCAAACATGTAGGTAATTTATGTGTCAGGTTCAATCGCCAGCTGTCCTTCCTACGCAACATCTAACTAGGACTGCTTTCCTTCACCTCCGTCATATTGCCCGCCTCTGACCGAAACCCTCATCCATGCTTTCGTCACCTCTCACCTCTATTCTTCCAATGCCCTCCTCGTCAGTCTCCCCAGGTCCACTATTGCCAAAATCCAAATAATTCAAAACTCCGCCGCCCGTATCCTCACGCGCTCTAAATTCCATGCTATATAAATGCAAGTTATTATTGCATTTAATTTTATGAGGTGAGCACCAAGGATCAGACTGAAAGTTGAAGTGCCCAACCTCAGGAAAGTATTCTGGAGCGTAAACAATAGACAGTTGTGCTGCTTTTTTCCTGGGATTGGGTGGCTCCAGATTAGCTCCCAAAATGGTCGGAAGTGCAGGCCCAAGAAAAAAATCAAACAGAACCATCCAGGGAGCTGACTGGCCTCTTGCCATAACTTACACCACCAAAGTAAGACATTTTTACAGTGCCCATCACTTTGAAATGTCTCAAGTTGCCTCACGGGTGATGTAGTGACTGTTTTTTTAGGCAAACACAGAAGTCATTTGCACCAACAAGATTCCACAGCCATGAGGTGGATTTCAATGTATACCTCAATAATTTGGAGGATTGTCAAGAAGAAAACCTGGAGAATTATCTCTCTTTCAGAAAAGTGTTATTGGATCTTTTACAACCATCTGAACAAGCAGTCAGGGCCTCAAAAGACAAAAGATAATCCAATAATAATCCAATCTTCCCCCAGCACCTCACTGGAATATAAAATTTACTATGGTCTTAAATTCCAACATGGACTTCAATTTACAGCCTTTTGATCCAGATATGAAACTTCTGCCAAGTAAACCAAGTTAGGTTAGAGTTAGGGTTAGGGCTAAGGAGATGGGTCCAGTTATGCTTGAAATGAGAGGATAACTCTCTACATGCAAAACACATATTAATGATCACATTGTGTTCTATAGCTTGTGCAAAGCACTTTGAACAGTGAGTGTTCCCACTTGGCTTCCCTGCTGATATCAGAAGATTTTTTGTTCTGCTTCCATTATAACAATAACACTTATAATCCTTTCATTTGATATACCACCTTATCATGTTGTTGCAATGTCTCAAGTTCTTCAAAGGATTTTATTGTGAAATGTGTGAATATGTTTTTGTAGGCAATTTGCGCAGACAATTTGCACACAGCAATACCTCACAAATAATCACAAAGTCAGTGACCAATTTTATTTGGAGGATTATTGGCCAGGACACTGAGGGACATGTTTATCCCTCTTTACCTAGCAGTGAATAAGAACCTGGTTGTTAGATGATTGGCGGATTACTTTTCCGGGGGTAATAATACCTTCAAAAAATAAAAAATAATAATTTGGTCACTCAATCCACGACTGTTTGTTGGGACACTGCTGTGTGCAATTGGCTGCTGTGTTTCATCCACAAAATAAACAGTGAATTCACTTTACAGTATATTCTGTGAAGCGCTTTGAGGTGCCTCAAAGACATGATAAGGCGCAATATCAAATGCAAGGATTATTATTATTATTTATTAAATGACCTTCTCTTTATGAATGTGGGATCTTTACCATCCATCTGAAAAGCAGGTGGGACCTCAGTTTTACATCTCATCCGAAGGATGGCACCCACAGCACTGCTTTGGAGTGTCAACCTACACTGCAAGTGCAAAATGGACTTGAACCCACAACTCTCTGGACTTAGAGACAAGAGTGCTGCCAATTGAAAGATGTTGATTCCATTATTTTACGTTTGGAGGAGGTACAAAAAGACAGGCAGCAGTATTATGCAACAAAAAGCTTAAATATTTCAAGTGGAAAAATTTAAGCCACTCTGTTCTAATTAACAGCATGACCAAAATGACCCATAGTATACCAGAGCAATACCTATGGAAGAATATTTGAGAAACTGGGAATCCTGCATCTTGAAGGTGTAACCTGCTCCCAAAGGCCAGTTTGGAAATTAATTAGAAATAGTGATCTGGCATGCTGATGGAAAGAAGACACTTGATAGAAAAATGTAAATGATTTTAGTCAAGTGATCAGAGTGATAATCCCAGTGAAGAAATACTGAGAGTGAAACCTGGAGGTTTGGTAGTCAGGTCACATCAATACAGCGGAGGCCTAGATTAATTCCCAAATTTAGGCGATAGAGCACTCAAGTAAGAATTTCCAGCCAAGGGCATTTTTCTCATCTAGATAAAGAGGCTAAAAGAAGATTTGATAGAAGGGTTATGAAGGTTTTAGAAAAGTTGGGTGAAGGCCATATTTTCTATTGTGTAGCAAATCCAAAACTATGGGACAAGCTCCACAAAAGGGCAACAAAAGCAAATCAGAAATGCGAGAGAAATACCTTCCGTAAAAGTACAATAGCATGTGGAGCAAACTACAAACATAGGTTGTAGAGCAAAGGACTATAACGGTTTCAGAAAAGGAACTAGACATTTCAAGGAAATTAAAAGGATTCAGGGTTATTTAGTGATTAGATTAATGTATAAAGGAATCTTTTGGGAAGTTGGATGGGTTTATTAGACAGACCAATGGTCTACTCCTGCCTGAAACATAATGATCTCGACATGACTATCAGTGACTTAAGTGATGCCTGCCCCTTATTGGCAGAATGTGAAAGGACACAAGTAAATTTGGTTACAAACCACACAGCAAGTTTGGTTTCCAGACTTTCTGTAAAGGTGTTCTTGGGATCTAATTTGGGATATTCATAAATTGGATTTGTTGTGTTAATTGTGACTCACAGTTTGTGAATATTGGAAGTCATTTGACTTGATAGATTCACAAAATGGCTAATCATGCATCCCGGAAGCCAGGAAAGTCTGCAGCCTAACTCACAATGCAGTCTGTAACCACAATGTTACTTGTTCCAGCCACTCGAGTTCTACCAACAATATAGATGCACTTCAGATGAAGACTTTTTTTAAACAATTTTTTCTCTTCCAAATCTCTGTTGAAGGCCTTAGTCTCCTTGTTCATTTATTTAAAGTATGGTTCCACTTGTGCCAGGTGTTCTCAAGTGCCTCACCTAAGTGGTTATTGTTCTTGTGTGAGCCTTGTCAGTGAGTGTTGACAAGTTATGTTGCTGTTGAGCATAATCCTGCTTTACTTGACACCACAAATGTGTACCTTCTTACAGAGATCTCTGATTAGCAATCAGGATTGGGATTCCTGCCTGATGTTCCTCTCACTGATCTGGGATACTGAGGCCATCGAGGGAACATTAAAAGGTTTTAAAAAACAAAGAAATCATGATCACTATTTCACTGTGGAGAAGCACAGGATAACGACGACGACAACAACTTGCACTCATATAGCGCCCTCCACACAAGATAGCGTCTCAGAGCGCTTAACAGAGGCAGAGCCTGACTGAAGGTCAGTTCTGTAACACGCTGAACCACTTCAAGGTAGCCCAGGGTATGTATCCAGGCTACCCATCCAACTTCCCAAAGGAATGCACTGATAAGAAAAGATGTATTCTGTGTTAAGGAATGGGGCATCAGTAAGGCACTGATTACTTCCATCCCATTAATTGACTAAGATAAATAAAATGAATAGGAGAGGGTGGATTTACCTCCCATAGAAACTCGTCTAAACTTTTCCTGCACTCCTGTGTTTTCGGCTGACGGACTTCCATGTCCTGCTGCCGCTGTGGCAATGGCGAATGCTGAAGTAGGAGACACAGAGCAGCGTGCATTGTCCATCTCTCTGCAGCCGGCTCCCATCACACCAGACTGAACTGCATCATTCAAATCACACAAAGGACATGCTTAATTCTACCACTCTGCAGATCTATTTTAAGCAAAAGCTACGATACTAAATAGCAAACTATCCTACGTCTTTGTCTTTTGACCTAACGAGTTAGCTAAACCACTGTGGGAATTGCAATTCATTTAGCATTTATAAAAGGTGTTAAGAAATTTCTTATACTGTATACTTTGTGAGGAAGTGCATGAGATATCTTCAGGTTATGACTGTAAAAACCTTCAGCATGACACTGATAACGTATTATCACACACTGATAATCTGTTCATTTATAAAGAAGCAACTGCATTTTTATTCAGGCATCCATCAGGAATTACGAAAAGAATTTATGGAGGAATTTTACATATCACCATGTGCGTGATATGCAGATTGCAGCATCTGACAACTTGTGAAACATTAGTAATACTGTCCACCAGCAAAGTGAGATTATATAGATTTCTCCCCACTTTTGTATTGAAAGGGTTTTCCATTTTAAGGGCCCCATGTTCATAACCCTGCAGAGATAATCAGGAAAATGCTCCTAACAGTGAATACCACTCTTTCCATGAGGTGGTGCACAAGAATCCATTTGACTAAATCACTTGAGTTCCTTACTTCCCTACCAGCAGGCAAGCTCCTGGTTTTTTTTGTTGGTGGCTCCCTATCTGTACAGGGACCATGTTTGAGTTGTAAGAGTGAATCCATGTCCTATTGCTCAGTATTGCCATGATCATTTATTGTACTGACACACCAGCCCATCTACAGACCGAGATTCATGTGTATTGAAATAGAGTACATATTCCATTCCAATACATCAGGAATTTGCATTTGTAGGTAGGATGCATGGAATTCTCATTTTGATTTGGATTCTCTTAAGCATGATGATGGATTTCCGCATGTGTTGGAAGGCATTGGAAGGTTGGAAAGCTTTGGATGTAAAGTGAACTAACAGTTCAAATATACGCAACTTAAAGCAGCCCCAGGCTACAACATAGGCCAAAAGATTGTTCATCCCAATTGCTCAGTAAATGCAACTGTTAAGTTTATGTGTCACATTAGCTACCAGCATTTCTAATCCACTTTAAACACAAAAGCTCAGTTAATTTGTACAAGTTAAAATATGAGGGCTTAAGGTGTAATAGAGGTATGTTACATGTTGGAAACTTTGCTTGTAATACACGAGGAGTGATGTGTCGTAACCTTGCATAACCTAATGTAGACTTAATGCTGCAATGCAAATGTCATAAATCGCTGCAGACATTTCTTTTCCTCCTTATATTCTTTTTTCCTTTGGAATACACGTACCCTCACCTCCTGACTGCCGGAATCTGAGATGCCGTGGGGTAGAAGGAGATCTACATGGAGACATTTCTGCTGCCTCGACAGTCTGAGCCCCTTCTGGAATTGTCTTGTCCAAAGACAGAGACTCTAGACCTGCTGCTACCAAAAAGTAACATTTAGTAAATATATCACATTGAAGCTGAAAATGGCATTTTTCGCTCGTAACAAACCAAAATCTTCCATGGAAAGTCTGTTCTGTTACGTGAGTTTTCTTTTCATTTGCTAAATGACGTATTCTTGGTCAAAAACAATAGTGCAAAATATCATTCTGTCATAAACCTAAATTTTAATATCGCAGACCGATTCTGAAAAAAGAAAATGTGATCTATTTCATGAAGCAACAGGTCTTGAAACATCTTCAATCCGGTTGTTTGTATGGTATTGTTGTATCGATGCTGTATCTGTTTAAGTGTACTACAATAAAGTAAGATTCGTACACCTCAATGGACAACAATGTTGGTCACATTCTGATAAGACAGTCATTCAAAATCTTTAACCTATCTTTCTCTTTCAAATGTTGAATGATCTGCTCTGCATTTCCACCGTTTTCAGGGTTTATTTCAGGTTTTCTGTCTTCAGAGGAGTTTTGCCGACTGTGTAACCATTCTGGGACACTCCAACAAGTTTGTTAGCCTTTCAACATATTCCAGATACATTGTCAGGTATTACGTGGTAATATTGGTAACTTTCAAAATTCTCCAATAGTTTTATCAGTCAGCAGTAAATTCTTGGACATCCTTCAATGGACTTTGCACTGTTTGTACCACACAATTATAAATACCAGAAAGAAATGTCTGACATACCCCTATATAAAAACAATCAGATGGAAACTTTTCCAAGAGAAAACATGCCTTACCCTGAAACCTCAAATGCTTAAAGGGGTACTTTCTACTCTATTATACTATATTAAAAAGTGTTTGACAAAAGTACTCTTGTGTACAACTACTACAAATTTGCTGACTACAAATACTAAGATGTCAGTTGTACTGATATGCATAATCACATTACTTGCCATTGAAAATTGGTCCATTATGTATCACCATGTGTAAATGCAGGTATACAGATGGAATTACAGGAATCCCACTCCTCCTTTTCCCCTGCTTGGTATCCAACCCCCATCTTTGTGAAGCTCTCCAAGATACTGTCCTATGGGAAGAGCACTATATAAATGCACATTGTTGTTGTTACGTGATTAACAACCAGAGAATGGATAGAGTTGTTTAGTTATATAATAGATTATTTTCATTGAATGTTAATTACAAAAGGGTACCCATATTTCCCTCTGTACATTTACACAAGGTCTTCGCATTGTACATAATATACCTTTTTTCACATGACTTACACCAGGGTGGCTGCTGAGGGCCAGATGTCCTATTTGAGAAATGTCCACAGGACACATAAGCAATATTTTTCTGCTTCCCTTCCAGAGGAGTCTCCCATAAAAAAAAACTCTTTTCAAAACACAGTGATGGTTGCTTTCAATATGCTCCTAGATTTCTCTGATGGCTTTCATTGATTTGTTTAAATATTGCTGTAATACAGTGAGTGTTGCTAACATCACTGGAGGGAGACGTAACTTGAGGACTTAGCGAAGTGCGAGAGCTGACTTACTTCGTATAGCTCAAATGAAGCTTCTGTTAAAGGCAGTCTCTCTGCAGTTCTTAATTCAGATCCTTCACTTTGAGTCTCTCTCCCACAGTCTCATCAGCTCTTATTATGTATACATTCACAGGAAGAGAAAGATAAGACTCATTTGGGCTTCACTAATAGTTCAGTGGATATATACACTCTGCTTAGTGGGCTACTGAGCTACACACACCAGTCTAGTATCATCCTTGGTCTGTGCTGAGTTAGTTGATCTCACCTACAATGGTGCTGAAGGCCCTGCAGTTAGCAGTTAGCCTCCTTGGGTAGGGAGGAGATAAACAGTTAGGATTACAGTTTGGTATAGATGTATACATTTAAATCCTTTTTGTTATAGTACAAGGAATGAGGGCACCCTCACTGCCCTCTGACATCCTTAACCTTCTTGTCCTATTTCTCAGACTCACTGAAGCTGCGCACAACCTAGGTGTTAGGTTCAATCCACAGCTGTCCTCTCTATCTCACATCTGGTCCCTGATCAGGACCCATTTACTCCACCTCTGTTATATTGCCTGCCTCCTACTGCACCTCACACCTGAGACAGCTAAAACGCTTATCCATGCTTCCTCGATTTTTCCAAAGCACCAGTACCACCATTCATCAAATCAATTCAAATCTCTGCTACCCATATCCTCACCCACACCAAACTCTGTAATCCCATTACCCTAGTCCTTGCCAGGCTTCAATTCTTCCCTATTGTAGAACAGATTGATTTCAACATCTTCACACTCATGTACAAACAGTAGAGCAGGAAGGGGTAACAGACTAATGGAAGCAAAGAAAAGGAGAGCAAGAGGACATAATGGGCAGAGTTACCTGAAAGAGGATGTGCACTACTCAGAGTTGGCGTTTTTGTGAGTTGGGAGTTTTACAATATAACAGGTTCATTTTGTTCATATTTGTCTCAGTGTATTTTCCCTTATGTCTTCATGCCCTGGCAATCCCTACTTCTTCAGCCTACTTACCCCCCATTCCTCTACCCATCCCCTTCTCTCAGTTGGCTTTGGTCTCCTGTACGTCCCTCATCCCCTCCTCTGCACCATCAGTGGACATGCTTTTAGCCACTATGCTCTAAATTCTACAACTTGCTGCCTCCTTGCCAATCTTTAGATCGCACCTGAAGACCTTCCTCTTCAACTGTGCCTACGGATACCTCCCCGCTCTCTCTGGCTTGACATCAAGCTCCACTACGGTTAATTGCTCTGAGATGCTAAGCTCCATGAGACCGCTATATAAATGCAAGTTTTTGAAATTGTTATGAAATCAGTAACCAACACTCCCAAATAACAGCTGGTTATTTGCGTATTTCTTTGTACTTATGAGTTCCTATACTTTCCTGTGTTTAGACATGAGAGAAAATACACTTGAGACAAACATGAACAAAATGAACCCGTTAGATTGTAAAACGCACAAATTACTTCTTTAAGTTTCCCACTCCAACTCTGAGTAGTGCACATCCTCTTCCAGGTAACTCTGCCCTTCCTGCTTTACTGTTTGTATTTCACCAACTTTTAACTAGCTTTTTGGTCTTATCTGTATTATTTATCTTTAAAAAATTCCACCTTAGCAAGTTTGTTTTTAACAGCGGGTGGGGTAACCGCACAGTCTGTAAATGGGCAGAGGACAAATCGTAGAAAGTGCTAAGGAATTCTCACATAGATTTGCAAACTCTGAAACCCATCAGTTTTGTTCCTTAATCCTAATGCCTTCCAACACCATCATGTGCCTGACCTTCACTGGTGAAATAGTAAAGAAATCAGCACACCAATGAATCAAGTGTCCAGAGATGTATTGATCACATCAATGTACAGATTACATCCTTCCACAGAATCAGAGATGGGCGGATTTTCTCAGGTCTTACCACACACCACCACCACCACCAACAAAATTACATTTGTAGAACGCCTTTCACGTCAGGAGGACGTCCCAAAGCCCTGAACAGTCAGATGTTGGGGCCCGAGCATAGAGGAAGGGGTGGTGTAGGGGTGAGGGAAGGCAGAGAGGTGGGAGGGAGACCAAAGGCACGGCCGAAGAGAAGGGTCTTGAGACCTGCCTTGAAGGATGCAAGGGAGGAATCGAGGCGAAGGGACTGTGGGATGGAGTTCCAGAGTGTGGGGGCAGAGAGGCTGAAAGCTTGGTCACCGATGGTAAACACCAGAGGCAAGTTAACCTCCCAGGAGAGCCTGAAAATGCTAAATTGTGTAAAGGTCCAACAGGAGTAAATGCAAAGTATTATCTATATCTCAAGGTCTAACATACAATGATTGCTAAAAATAGAACTCTTTTTAAATCTTTGCAATGGGAAATTTCATTAATAAGGCTTAGCAAAAAAAANGGTGATAGTGATTTTTAGTATTCAGTGTATAATGGATCCAATAGAAACAGTTAGTCCAGACAGGCATGTAGCCTGAATCTGAAGATTGCTTTTAGTGTGCGCGAGTAGGAAAGAGTTTATGATTCAGTGTGAGACTTTGCATATTTGGCATTAAAATAAAGTCGTCACTGGGTGCATGAATACCTAAATCACTAACTCAAGACTCCGTTTTAAATAAATATCTGGTTAAATTTTACAACAGCATTTGTAGGGGTTTATGGTAGGCTGTAATTCAGCGATATGTGGTTGTGTATAATTGAATAAGCATTAGTGCTCGACAAGAGACGTATGCACTAAATATATAATTATAAGCTGCATTAAAAACTGTGTTAAAGTAAAATACAATAGGAAATTACATTTGTATAGCATCTTTCATGTTGAGAGGACATGAAAGGCATAAACGTGAAAGCAGCAAATCCAAAATCCATCAGTCATGCCTATCTGGAAAGGTATTGTGAGTGAGGTGCTAGAAAGCACCAGAAGTGGAACAGTGCCAAGAGGTTAGGAAGAGGTCAGCCCACAATGTGAATGTCAGTCATCATTCAATCAAGAAACCAGATAACAGGAGAGGGAAACCAGTGATCAGAAGATGGGGAGGAAACAGAATGCCACCATTGAGTAAAACAGAGACAGAGGAAAAATCTTGGCAAGAACGGAAATAACTCATAACAAGGTGGTAAATGAGGACACAGATAGCAATGAGTGACAATCCCATGGAAGGGGAGCAGATTGGAGTCAATTAATAAACACAAGGAGTCAAGCTGAGGGAGCCAGTGTTAGGGGAACGGCATGGAGACACGAACACACTTAATGGTAGGTGAGGAAAAGACAGGTTAAGTTTTCTTTGGGCAGCAGATTCAACCAATTTTCAACCATGCAATGGATGAATACATACCCAGTTTGTTGTTGGCCAGTGGATGTCTGACAAGCTCTGTACTTCTTTCTGTGCTTAATAGTCTCCGGGTTTAGCTTGTGACAATACACAGAAGCATTGATTCTTATTGCCAGTTCCTCACAAACTTTTCCCCCAGGAGGTTCACACCTCACTATCTAAGCTCAGAAACGTATGAATGCAAGT